ATTGCAAGACGCGCTCGGCGGCTCTCGCCGGTCCCTGGCGCGAAGCAGTGTTGCCAGGCACCGTGGCCGTCTGGACGAGGTACGGGGCCGCCCATGAGGGGGCCGTCGCAGGGCGCCCAGGGAAGCTCCTGGAGGGGAGGGGGGCACCTGGCGCTTCTCCACTGCCCCATTTCACCAACCAGAACTTTACGAGGAAAATCCTGGAGGCCTCGCGCGGCAACTTGAGACCCGATTTACATCGGATTTGCGTCAGGTTCACGCCGGACTGTCGGATTTACGTAGGATTTACGTCGGACTGACTCCGGAGCATCGCCGCGCAAGCGTCGAGCCATAGCTTACAGAACTGACAAGTGGACTAGATCATACTACTATGACGCGCCACGCGAGGCCTCCAGGATTTTCCTCATAACTTCTCCACTGCCCCATTCCACTAACCAACACTGCCATCACCCAAAGGAACAAACCTACGGCAATCCTGGTTTCGTGATATTCCGCTCTATCTCTTGGGCCTCGGGGCCCAATCCCTAACCAGCTCGCCTTACCTGGGGTCCTGGCTATATCCGAAAGGGAGGGATGAGCAGCGAACCCCTGCCAGCGAGCTCGAGCGCCCCCTCCCACCCCCTGACGACTCGGCAAAACGCACGGGTGGCGCGAAAATGGGCCTTCAGCCGCAGGAAGGTCTCTGGCGTCTTGGCGAACCTCTCGAAGAAGGCGGACATGACAGTGTCCGCTCTCATCAGGTCGTAGACCTGGGCAGGCGGGAATCAGGGCGGGCCTTGCGACGAGAGACGACGAATGATTGATCCTTCGGCCGAGTGCTGCCCCAGGGATCTGTTCACTTCAGGGGATCGGAGAATCAAGTCGCATTCCTTTCTTCCCCCAAACCTGTTCCTCCTCCTCCTCCTCCTACTGCTCCTCCTCCCCTTCCCGCCCTTCTTCCTTTCAACGAAGCCCACTCCTCGTCCTGCTCCTCACCGTCCTCATCCTTGCCCGCGGCTGTCCACAATCCACCCTCAATTGCAAAGCGATCGACTCGGTCGTTTGATCGATCGATCCGAACATCTGCACGACCCCATCCGTGGACAGGCTGGGTCGCCCCCAGGGGTGCGCCCGGCAAGCTCCTGCCCCGACGATGTCGGGCCTGGTTGCTGGCATCCCGTGCACTTCTCAGCCGTGCATGAGCCCACTCTCGGGGGCCCCCAGATGGGTACCGGCTTCATCATCTGGTGAGCATCCAGCCCTCGACAGAAAGCGCTCAGACACGCACGCTGGCCCCATGAAGCTAGAATTAGGTCGGGCATGTCCCCCTACAGGCGGTTCTTGAGCGAAAAAATTGAAAACATGTCAAAATATACTCCCACATGAGCAATTTTTCCCGGAAAGGGCTCGAGCCCAGGGTTCTCTTTTAGTGGGTTTACCCCCGGTTTCGACGGCTGTAGGGCCGGCGAAATTATTCTGCGATAAATTACGTGCGGGAGTAGGGCCGGCGAATTAAAATTTGAGGATGTCTCGAGCGAAACGCTTGTTTTTCAGAATTTGTTGAGGATGTCTCGAGCGAAACCCTTGTTTTGTGTTATAGATTGTCTTTTCCTGGGGACGTGATTTCTGAGGATCTCTCAAGTGGATTGCTTGTTTTCACGTGCCCAGGTCTTGAGGATGTCTCGAGCGAGACGCTTGGTTTCACGCCTCCAGGTGGCCCAGACAGATGTCTAGCATGAGAATTTGTTGAGGATGTCTCGAACCAGAGGCTTGTTTTCACGTGTCCAGGTCGCCCAGGCGGATGTCTAGCATGAGTATTTGTTGAGGATGTCTCGAGCGAGACGCTTGTTTGCACGTGTCCAGGTTGCCCAGGCGGATGTCTAGCATGAGGATATGCTGACAACGTCTTGAGCGAAACGCGTGTTTTCACGTGTCCAGGTCGCCCAGGCACATCACAGCCCTCGGCACGGTACATCAATATCGATACCCTTAGCATTGCAGCCTGGCATGTTGCCTGGCACGTTCCGCGGAGCGTCCCGTGGCGAGTCCCCCTGGCACGTCGCGCGGTGCACGTCCATTGGCACGTTTCGTAGCGCGTCCCCTTGGCACGTCCCGCGGTGCGTCCCCATGGCACGTCCCCTGGCACGTCGCCTGGCGCGTCCCTTGGGACGTTCCGCGGCGCGTCCTCCTGGCATGTTCCCTCTGTGTAGTTCTGGGGCAGCTACCATCTGCTCAGGCAGCTCGAGCTTACGATCCAGATCAGTTCAGTGAGGACTCGGATGCCAGGGAGGACTCGATTTACAAGGCTATATGGAGCACAATTGCGGCATGGCACATCGCAGTTCAGCACGGCCCAGCACAGCACAGCCGTCGGCACGGTACATCAAGATCGATACACTCAACTATGCACCTTGGCGCGTTCCGTGGCGAGTCCACCTGGCACGTCGCGCGGCGCGTCCCCTGGCACGTCCCTCGGCACGTCCATTGGCACGTTCCGTAGCGCGTCCCCTTGGCACGTCCCGCGGTGCGTCCCCATGGCACGTCCCCTGGCACGTCGCCTGGCGCGTCCCTTGGGACGTTCCGCGGCGCGTCCTCCTGGCATGTTCCCTCTGTCGATTAGTTCTGGGGCAGCTACCATCTGTTCAGGCAGCTGGAGCTTACGCTCCAGATCAGTTCGGTGAGGATTCGGATGCCAGGGAGGACTCGATCCACAACGCTATATAGAGCACAATCGCGGCATGGCACATCGCAGTTCAGCACGGCGTAGCACAGCACAGCCCTCGGCACAGTACATCATCATCGATACATTCAGCATTGCATGTGCCCGTCGCCCAATCAGGTGTCTTTGAAATATTGCAATGCCTTACATTTCTTTATTCCTTTCCGGGTTCGTGGGTCGATCATGTTTAAAAATAGTTCCCCGACTATTTTCCGACTAATTTTCAATATATTCCTCCTGCAGAGGCACGTGCCCGACTTGAAGCTAGAAGAGCCACAGGACAAACAATTACTTCGACTGACAGCGGGAGAGGGGACGGAGGGAGGACGACGACGGCGGTGACGAAGGGGAGCCGGGCCATGGACCCCGAACACCAGCTTTTCCAGTGGCACGGCTCCTCCGAGGCGGGCGTACAGCGTCTTCGCCTGCTCCTCCTCCGTCAGCGGCTGCGTCTCCTTGGCATTGGAGAAGGTGTGACGAGGGAAAGGACGAGAGAGCGGGAGACAGGGAGGAGGAGGACGAGAAGACGGACGGTGGGGCCAGGAACATTATATAGCCTAGAGAGGGTCGAGGGGGACAAGGGGGAGCGAAAATTGAGGGTGAGGAATCCGCGGACACTGTCGACGAGGGTGAAATGCTCGTTCGCTCGAGTCGTCGTCGTGGTCGTGGTCGTGGTCGTGGTCGTGGTCGTGGTGGTCGTCGTCGTCGTCATCGTCGTCGTCGTCGCCCCCACTCGGCCCTCCTTCCCAAGCGCGCCAACCAAAGGGAAATCGAGCAACGTCGTGATCGAGCCGAAGGGAAGCACCTTCGTGTGATCCCTTCCCCGCAGGGCTTCGGGCGAGAAATTGTCGGGTGGGGGGCCCCCGGAACAAACATCTCCTCTGGGGGTGGGTATGCCGGCCCGTGGTGTGGGCCAGGTGGGGGGCGCCGGTAGGTTTCGGGCGAGAAATTGCCGGGTGGGGGGCTCCAAAAGTAGATGTCTCCGGGGTTGGGGATGCCGGCCCGTGGTGTGGGCCAGGTGGCGGGCGCCGGTGGGTTTCGGGCGAGAAATTGTCGGGTGGGGAGCCCCAGGAACAGACGTCTCTGGGGTGGGGATGCCGGCCCGTGGTGTGGGCCATGTGGGGGGCGTTCGCAGGTTTCGGGCGAGAAATTGTCGTGTAGGGGGGCGAAAAACAAACATCTCTGGGGGTGGGGATGCCGGCCCGTGGGGCGGGCCAGGTGGGGGGCGCTGGTGAATTTCGGGAGAGACATTGCCGGGTGGGGGGCGCCAAGAGCAGATATCTCGGGGGGTGGGGATGTAGGCCCGCGGGGGGGGCGCCGGTGGGTTTCGGGCGAGAAATTGCCGGGTGGGGGGCCCTTAGAACAGACGTGCGGCCTGATGCCCGTCTCCTGGCTTTGCTCGACGATCGCGCGCCCGCCCGTCGCCAGCCCCGTTTGACCGCGCGCGGTTTCCTCGAGTCATCGGCGAATTGCGCCGAAGCGCGGCGGGCGGGTTGCTCCATGATCGCCGTCTTGAAATCGAGCTGTGAGTCCACATGCTCGCACTGCTCGCGCCATCGCACGACGGGCCCCCTGGGGGCCGCCGAAAACTGCCGGGGCGCCTCGCGCGTGCCCATGAGACCGCCGCGGCCCAAAGCAAAATGCTGAACCTCCCTGCGGGCCATGATGGGCTCGATCGCACGCGAGCCCCTGGCCCCCTGGCGCCGCCAGCTCCCCCGCCGCCTTGTCAAGCCAATCTGGCGGCGTGCAGCCGAAGGCGTTGGACCTGTCCAGCAGCCCAGAGGCGCTCCTCTCGCCTGCCGCGCGGAAGGCGAATCCAACGCATCTCGTGACCAACGTCGCGTCCTCCCTCCTCCTGCGTGCCAGGTGCCCATGACAGGTAGGGTCGGAACTCATCTCGCACTCTAGGCGCCGCTGCTTCTCGCGCAAGGCCCTGGATCAGAACTTCCAGAAGGCGCCGACCAGGTGTGCGGGGTGCTTGGAATCGAGGCCCTTCCCCCCGTTGCGCTTGTCCAGGTGGTGACCATAGGGCCGGCGCGCAGCAGCAGGCGCGCGGTTGGCGCGCCGAAGTGCGCAGCGCAAAACCTTCAGCACCTCCTTGCGGCATCTCTGGCATGTGCTCGCGACCATCTCAAGGCCCGCAGATTCCAACCCGCGGGGGGGGGCGTTTCCACGTCGAGCAACGTCCAGGTCCCATGCAACACGGCAGCAACTCCGTGGGCGCACTCCACTGCACGCAACCGCGATTCTCGCCACTCTTGCGCATGGCCCCGACCGTCGCCTGGAAATCGCGCTTTGAAAATTGGCGAGAGACAATCGCATCTATCTTGAAGACAGGGGGCCATCCCCGAACGCTGTGCAGCCAGAGCACCGCGATCGACAACCGTTGCCGACGCGCCGCCCCTCGCTCGGCTTCGCCATGTGCGCAGCCGCCACCGCCGCCGAAGGGCGCGACTCAGGCGCGCTGCAGCACTGTCTCCAATTCGCGCCCTGGGCCCGCCAAGTCAGCAATAATGACTACCTACCAGACCACCCCAACCTAACCCCAAGACCCAAGTTTCGGGTTGGGGGTGCACGGGTTTCACATGTGTTTTTCTACGTTCCCGACCCGCCCCACCTGGAAATCGGGGGGAAATGTGGGCTTCGGGTTGGGTTGGGGTGATTTGGTCGGTGGCGAAAGAAAAGCCAATCGGTGCTGCTCGAAGGAGCGCCCGCGCCTCCCTACGTCCAGTAGGTCCGCTTCGAGCGAGGCGCGTCGTTCAGCGCGCCTCTGACGAGACCTGCGGCGTAGCTGCCCCGTCAGCTGCTTCACCCTGTCCAGCTCGCCGTCGCAGATTTGCTCACCATTCTCATCCACCGACGATCGAAGCAACGATTCGGCAAATCTCTCCCCTTCCTGCGCGCGCGAAGAAATTGAGCTGCGCGTCTCAGCCTGCAACCTCGCCTCGGCAGCATTGCGTCGCGCCGGTGGATGCTCCGAAAAAACCCTGGTCCACATGTTGCATCAACTTCATCGTGAGCTGCCGGAGCAAATCCACGCAAGGTTCTTCCCCATATTCTTCGAACTCTTTTCTTGCGCGACTGAAGAACGCCCGCGGGGGGGGAGGGAAACGCAAGAAGGGCTCTCGCCTCACCCCCTTTTTGCAGCGCCTCCGAGAGAAACTGGAGGTTCCACGTCAGGTTGCTAGCCGCCTTCGCGCCGTCATCCATCTCCAGCCAACGAGCCCCGCATCAAAAGCAGCGGCATGCGATCTCGGGGGCGGCCATCAAGTATCAGCGATATAATCTCACCGTGCAGTCCAAGACGTTCGCCTGCGCAGCTTGCGGTATAAGCCAATGACCTATCGAGCTGCGCCCACCTCGGCTCCCGAAAAACGCGGGGCACCCCTCGTGCGCCAACATGCCCGGTGAGCAAAATCAATGTTTCAAGCACAGCTGCTCCGCGAGGTTGCCCGACAACGGCCGACGCTCGCTCTGGAAAGCAACAAAAAAAAACTCCCGCCACTGTCGCAGACAATTCCACCCCCTCGCGCGCCGAAGCCGCTGTTGACGTCCATGCCCACGACGATCCTGGAATTCGTGATCGAGCTCTTGACGTCTGAGTCGGTCCACGAGCGGGTCGCCTTCACGGCCGCCTCCTGCGCTGCAGCGCGCCTGCCCGTAGGGCCTCCAGGCGGAGGGTAGCCCACAACCAGCGCGATGTCGAACTTGCCGCTCTCCAACCTCATCGTAACAGCGCGACCCTGGATCGTCCTCGGCGGCGCGAAAATGTCAACCGCATCCATCAAGCGCAGCTACCGCACCACGATGACCAAGCAACCCGCAGACTTGTTCATCCACGCAGGGGCGCCCACCCGAAGTGCACCGCCGCGTGCCCGCCCCCCACCTGGCACCGCCTGTTCGTCCAGCTCCTGAAGCGCGTGCCAGGCTAAAGAACACCGTCGGCGCCAAGTTCTGGCTGCCACTTCACGGCAGCGCCCCGTCGCGATCAGCGAGAGCTGGCTGCAGAGAAAAAGACGGAGAGGGCCCAACACTCGCATGCCCCAGCCTCTCGCCGCGAGGCCGAACCCCGTCGAATCGCTTGAAAACTGGGGCCACGTCGGCTATCGCCACATGCCTCCCAGGGTCCGGCACGTGAAGGCCCGAGTTTCGGCACTATCGTGGTGCTCGAAACTCTTTCTGGGGATCAAGGCTAGAGTAGCTTGGAACACTATCAGGGAGGCGGTGGGGTTGACCTCTTCGGAGCCTCCCGCGCCGCAGGCGCCAACGTATCGAGGAGAGCGTCCGACGGCAGAGCCGAGACGAGCTGCACGTATCAGACGGTGCTCCTCCTCCTCCTCCTCCTCCTCCTCCTCCTCCTCCTCCTCCGCTTCCAGAGGCCTCCCAGATGGGGTCGGGCACGAGGACATGGGGTCGGAGGATTGCGCCGCTTCGCCGATGCATCGGTGGTGCATCGGTGGTGGATCGGCGCTGCGCCCCGCCCCGGTGCCGAGCGAAGCGGGGGGCTGTGGCATGAGTGCTCTGACGCCTCCTGGCGACGCCGGCGCCAACGTCTCGAGGAAAGCGTCCGACGGCGGAGCCGAAACCAGCTGCACGCATCAAGAGATGTTTTGTTCCGGCGAAGCCACAGGTTGTCGGCTATCTGGTGTGGGAGGGAAAGGGAAGTGCTGGCCGATAACTCTCAATCTTTTCGCTCTGAGCAGCCCCGCGTATGACCTCGCGCACCGGTCCTGCGTACGGCAGCTTCGCGGCGCGATGACGTCGGCGTTGATCTCTGTCACCTCGTGGATCGTTCAACCACCTTGAAATGAGTATCGCTTAACCGATCCCCATCCCCAGCGGCGTGGCCTGGGCCCCACTGGCCACTCTGCCCCGCCAGATGGGGACATGGGTCGTTCCCTTCGGCTTTCGAGGGGCGCATCCCCAACTGGGGCGGTAATTTGGTGGGGGTCTCGAAGGGGATGGGGATGGGGATGGGGCTCGGTACAACGATACCGATTAACGATCACGGCTTTCTGGGCCGCGGGCGGCGTTCCACTCTGAGCGCCCGCACTCTGGGGTCACCGCCGCGGCAGCTGGGCGCGAGCACGCCGGGACCCCTGCGGACCTGCGCCACCGACAAGGAGAGGTTATCTGGGGGGGGGGAAAGGGGGAAAGGCTCGGCGGCGAGCGAGGGGGAGAAGTGAGAAGGGGAAGGCCTCCTCCGAAGGTTCGGACGTCCCCCGGCCTCCTGAGAAGTTTTCTGGGCCCTTCCCCGGGGGCACACACAACACTTCTCAGGAGGCGCGAGGGCTTCTGAGAAGTCCCGCCGCCCTCTGAGAGGGCCTTCTCCTTCTTCGTAATAAAGGGAGGGGGGTCTCATTTCGGGGGGGGGTCTCTTCCAGGCTATCTTGGAGGGCCTGGGGGGTCTGGGGACGATGTTTTGGAGGGTTCTCCTACGGGGGAGGTCTGAAATGGCTTGTCTTGGAGGGTCCAAACCCCCTCCCTTTTATTACGAAATCTGGAGTAACTCGTGATGCAGCCGGGCAGAAAATACTTATGGCATCGCTCCTTGCTGGCGGCTCAGCCTGAAGATATGCACGACGTGCACGTGTCCAAACATTCAAATAGGACAGGGGATCGCGCTTGAGATCGCAAACCAATTGAGACGGTGCGACACTGATGTTTCAGACGAGCCGTAAGTATACAGAACAACGAGGAATCCCCACGAGCGACCCATATCGCTTAAAATGCTCCGGCGGTGCTGCGACTGCCTTCTGCTTTTGAAGCAATGAAAGACGTGTGGAACTGGACTGCCATCAAGAGGGTGGATGGAGTGGAACAGGGCACGCCCACATGGCATACAGAAAGGGGGGGAATTTGGGTATCCGAACAAGGGTCCTTGACGCCGTCCTCTCCCCACATCCTCATCGTGATGTGCTCCTCGGGCGAGAGCCAGAAGCCGATCGAAGGCGGAAGAAGCGAGAGGAACAGGGAATAAACAGCACAGGGGGGCAAACGATGGGATGACAGAGGAGGGGGGGGGGAAACAAACTGGCAGTGGAGAGAGGAAGAGGGATGGCGATAAGGATGACGACAAGAGGAGAGGGAGGAGGGAAAAGAGTGCGGACGAAAGAACAGGGACAGGGGGTCCACAGGGGCGTGCAAGAATGACTGGCAACAGCGGCGAGCCCGCTCTGACAACCCTCTCGCGCGCAGGCCCTCCAGCCGAGATGGCAGCAGGGCGCCGTGCGGAAAGGGGGAGAGGGGGAAGGGGAGAGGGAGAAATAGAGGACAGGGCGGCTGTGACAGCGAAAGGCCGGGTAGAAGGCAAGCACGGAGGAGGGGCGTGGGGACGGGAAGGAGGGATGACAAAGAGAGAGGAGCAGTGGGAGGAGGGCGATCGGAGACAGCAAGGAAGACAAGGATGAGGCGGAGGAAATCCAGTGCAGACACGTAATAAAAGAAAGCGCGGAGAGGAGAAGTAACACGAAAGGGCGGCACGAGGACGGAGGATCAAGAGGAGGGATCGATGAAACACTGAGGCGAATGTTTAGGCGAGAGAGAATAACGAACTGAGAGAGGGGGAAGCAATGCCGCCAATGCTGGACCCCGACCCAAGTTCCCACCAAAACGACCTGTCCTGGCCAGTTTTTCGAGCCGCGTCCAGCCGCGGCGACGAAAAGAGTCCAGAACCTTCCAATGAACTGCACGAAATGCATGCTGCAGACGATGGCGGCGAGAGAGACCCAAATCTCAAACGATGTGATTTACAGAAACATCTACACGACTACACGGACGGAAAACATCGGAGGTCTGCGCGGATCCCTTGGACTGGCGCTGGACCCCCCTCCCTGGCGCGCGGAACGCGCCAGGGGCGGCGCCGGAAGCGCCGAGGGGGGGCCGCTCCAAGAAATCTGCGCGGAGCTCCGAATTATTATGTTTATGTTGTCCTGTGGTTTTCTATTGCGGTCGGGCCTGGGGCAAAAGAACATCCCCCACGAACACGGGGCCCTCCGCTGGCCAAAACAGACAGAACATCCAAGGGCCCCTCGCCAGGATGCACAAGAGCATCCAACGAGCACGAAGGACATGAGGGTAACCCCCCCGAGCCGACCTCGATCTCATACCTGGCCAGGAGGTTGGCTAGCGGCTGCGAACCTTCACCTGGCCAGACATCACCAAAATAATATCATCGGCCCCGGCACTCAAGTGAACACCGAATCCTTGACTATTCCCCGCAACTGCTTGCCTCCAGAACGATTTACTTCCGACCCTGACGTCGGTCCGACTGTACATACAACGTGGGCTCCGGGACCACTCGACTCCATCCGCGGGACCGCTCTCGCCATGGTGCGTTTGGCCTCCCCGCGCCAGGCTCACGCCGCGCAACGTCCACACCTCAGCACGGCCTTGATCATGAAGCAGGCTGGAAGCACCCGAACCATGCCGCTCGCAACGTGCAACCGCGAGGCTGTGAGACCCGCGAGAGCAGTTAAAGGAACAACACATTCGGCGGTGAACAAATCTCCCTTTATTTTTTCAACAAAGCATCTTCTCGCAACCACACAAAGTTAATATATCCTCTGGTCTGCAATCGCCGGACTACGGACGTAACTGTAAGGACCGAAACCGACGGACCTGGACCCGCAAAAAAAACGGCCGCGTGACCCTCTCGCGAACCGAAACAGCCAATTCTCTAATCGACGTGTCAGAGTAGGAGGTCTAGCAACTCCGAAAAAGGAACCAACACATGAACGACGATCAAATACCGGTCTTACGCGAGACGACGCGGCAACCTTACGCCACAGCTTATGCGGGCCGCCCGCGCGGCACGCTACATGGGAAACGAGGGCGCTAACGCGCGAGCTTAGGCGGGCAGCTGACGCGCCGGTGTCGGCGCAGACGACCCCGTTGTCTTGCGTCACTCAAATTGCTAAAACATAAGCTTTCTAGGTGGCCATGCGTGAACCCTGCCCCCACCCCCTACGATTTCTCAGGGGGGTGCGGGTTCATTCCGCTGTGGAACTCCCAAACAAAATGAACTCCCATCCCGTCATTTTAGAAATGGTGGGGGTGGGGGCAAGATTCACATGTGGTCATCGGCTTTCGACGCTCCGCGCTGATTGCTTGGATCGGCGCTTGACCCCCTCCCTGGCATGCGGAGCGCGCCAGAAGGCACCGCCATGGGGGTCCAACGCCGATCCAAGAAATCCGCGCGGAGCTCCGAAAGATAAGTTATGTGTATTCAATGTCTTCTGCTTCTAAGCAAGAACGGATTTTAGTCTTGGAGCCCGCCGGGGATCCCCCGATGACGCCCTCAGGGAGAAGAGCTGGGCACAGCAGGGGACAAGAACATTGGAGGTTGAACAACGACCCGCTGCCGTGCCCGTTCCCTCCCGCGGCGCTGGAGACCTCGGCATGAAGGAAGCGAACCCCGAGAGAAAACGATGGCCCTCCCCCGGGAGCAACTCAAAAGGTGTCCAAGGACACACGAATAAATACGCGGCCACCAGGCTCCAGTTCCAGTCTCCAGTTTCAAGTCTCCACTGTTATAGTCCAGCGTTCTGCTTCCTGCCGTGAATTGTGGAAGTACGCGCGAGCGGGGGGAGCCGAAACGGGCCACGGTTGCCACCACCTGGGGGGGGGGATTCCGAATTTCTGGGCGTCCTCGGACACGACAATGTACATGAGATTCGCGCCCCCGAAGCCATAATCCTTCGCACATTGCACAGAATTCGCGCCCCCGAGGCCATAATTCGTTGTAGAGTACACCGTATTCGTGTCCTCGAGACCACTAACCCTTGCACATTGAATCATTGTCACGCTCCCGAAACCATACATCCGACTAAATAATCTACTATTCGCGTCACCGAGCAACACTCTCGTGCAAACTACGCAACCGATGCACCCCCGAAACCACGACCCCTCAATTTACGCGTTCTTCGTGTCGCCGAAGTCCGACTCGCAAAGCATGCAGCATCCGCGATTTCGAAGCCACAATCCGTCATAAACGGCCTCCAAGTCGGTACAAGGGGCCTCCAGAATGGCCCAAGAGTGCTCCAAGGCGCTCAGGATGGCCCCAAGATGGCCCAAGAGGCTCCCGAAAGGCCCCCAAGAACACCCCCAAGAGGGGCCCAAGAGGCCAACATCTGCGATTATCCATAGGTTGTTGATGGATTTTGGCACGCTCGCCTTTTCGAGCTTGCGACGCTCCAAGACAGCCCACGAGGCCCCCCAAGACCGCCCCAAGACCGCCCCGAGAGGCTCTCAAGAGCGCCCCAAGACGGTCCAGGGGGGCTCAAAGACGGCTCAAGAGGCCCCCTAAGACGGCCCGAGAAGAGGGCCCCAAGACGGCGCCAAGAGTGACCCGAGGCGGGGGGCCCCAAGACGGCCCCAAGAGACGAACCCAAGTGGCCCCCGTTCGGAGTTCCGACGCTGCTGCCTGATGGCGCCCAGGCCTCACAACATGGCTCTTGCATGCCCCCATTCTCCGAGAGGGGGGACCGGCGGCAGGGGGCGGAGCCCTTGCGGATGGACACAGGTCCCAAGATTCCCCACATTCTCAAACAATTGTTGGCCCTTCGTCTCCCCCTGCCCTTCCCGCATCTTTTCCTGGGAGTCGACGCCCAGTCGTGTCTGTGCATTCTTCCCTGCTGACACAGCTCTTCACCCCCTGCCCGGTCTGAACGGCCCCGGGGCACGTGGAGGCCCCCGGGAGCACGTGAGCTGGCAAGGTCCTCGGGACCCGCTCCCCTCAGGCAGGAGGCACCCTCTGGGAGGCCTCCGCGGGAACGATCCGAGCCAGAAGGGCGCCAGTCTGCGGGGCCAGTGGGGCTGGACTGGCCAAGGCTGCGCCCAGGATCAAGCCGGGCCGAGCGCAGCTGAGCCAGACCGGGCGGGATTCGGCTGGAGTGCGGCTGGGCCGAGGACAGAAGAACATCCTCCAAAAGCATGAGGCCCCCGCCAGCCAAAAGAGACAAAGCATCCAACGGTACCCTCCCCTAGGATGCACAAGAACGAGCCGGTGTTTGAGACCACGGAGAGGCCAGCGCCGATGCCACCAAGAGCGTGGGTCAAGAACATATGCGCACCTTCGCCGAGGGCCCGATGGGGCCCAAGGGAGACATCCCAAACGAAGAGCATTCCGAGGTGGAGAGTCCGAGCACGGAGGCAAGCGAGGGCAATAGTAAGGAAGGAGCCCAGGGGGGACAAACCTGGATCGGCAAAACAAACACTGGGACTCTCAATGCGTTTCTGGACTTCCTGGGTTGTCCTCTCCTCCGTCCATTTCCCGCATTTTTAGAGCTGTGATTTCCAACCCTTCTCCAGACATCCTGGGTTTTCCCCTCCACCTACATTTTCCGATGTGATTCTACATGCTCCTTAAAAAACAGCGCTGCTGCGTATCCGTAAAAACTTATCCTCCTGGCACGACACAGCCAGGACAGCTCTTGACCCTCGTGCTCGCTCAGGAAGAGAAACCAACAATTGCACAAACATAAACTCTCGGAGTTCCGACACGGTATGGTCATGCTGACTTTACGCAGGCAAAGAGCGGTATACAGCCAGAGCAAGGACATAATCACGTCCTTCAAAAGCATGAGACCCTCCGCCGGCCAAAACAACCCAAACCATAAGATTACCGAAGATTCCGTATGCACAATGGCATAGCGACAAACGCGAAGTGCACTAGGATACCCTCCCGAGCCGACCTCGACCAACTACTTCGGTCCGACCGTAACACGAACTGTTCCGCCATCGGGGGCGTCTGTCCAGGGAGGCTGGGAAGATTACACCCCACTGTGGCAGAAGGGGGGTATGACTGTCCATAAGACGAAGCCAAGGCGACGTTAACATCGGGTGAGGATACATTGAGAATCTCCGAGGTCCGGGTCCGGAGGATGTCTCGGGCGCCGCGGCCTTCTCAAAGCGTTCCAGAACGCTCTGAAAGCGTTCTGGAACGCTCTGGAACGGATTTATCCTCGTCCTAGCCACGTCCGAGTCCACCCGCCCTGGGACAGGCGTCCTCGATGGCCGAACAGCTTATTTTATACCGTCCTTCGCCCACTGAATTTGGAGGCAGCTGAAGGTTCTGCACTGGTCGGGACCCGACAAAGTCAGCCACGAGGGGGCATGAGGCCAAATCCGATAAAGATCGGTCCCTGGACCCTTTCTGGGGTCCACGACATGCAAATTTCATCCCGGATCTCCTTCTGACGCTCCCAGGGCGCAAAAACGGCCCCCTGGGAACCGAAAAAGGTCAAACACTTTCTCGAACAAAGAACCTCAAGCCTGCCTTTCCCCCCTTCCTGCTCGCTGGAGCCAGTGCTGAGCCACCTCAGACCCTCAGCCTGCTCCTCTGCTACATTTCCCTCCCTCGATCTCGACCTTGGGGCCCGCCTGCTTTGTGACGCGTGCCGCGCGGGGGGGGGGGAGTCGGCTACACGCAAGAGCGACCCCGGGCAAGAGTGGCCCTTGGTGCGTGGCGTCAGGGGGCCGTGGGGACGACGCCAGATCCAAGGGTGCAGGCCAGTGCTGGGGGGACCCCCGTGGGCCCGCACCAAATGTCACCCTGGCTCAAGGTCGGCGGTGGACAAACCTCCCTTTCGTAAACCACCCTTTAAAGAAAAAGGGCCTAGGACAGAAACCGACGGACCTGGACCCGCAAAAGATGGCGGCCGCGACGCCCTCTCGCGAGCCGAAAACGGCCAATCCGCGGATCGACGTGTCAGGGTAGGAGGTCGATCCGCCTACGACCAGGTCAAGCTGACGCGTAGCCGAGGGATGGCGGCGCCCGCGCCTTCGGCGGCGAGGCCGCCTCGGCGGCGGCCCCCTCCGCTGGGCGCGCCTCGGCGCGCGCGCGGCTTCGAAGGCCTGCCCCTCCCCTGTGGCGCCCGTCGTCCGTCGCCGCTGCCGTCGATCGAGGGAGTTCCCAGACATGCGCGCGTCGTAAAAAAGGAAAGCACGACGCCTTTTGTTTCTCTGCTCTCGGCCCCTGGGGGCCCTCGTCAGGCCTCGGGACCATGAAAACCACTACTCGGGGTTAAAACTCGGCCCTGGGGAAGGGATCGGGACTTCTGGGGACCCCCCGATGAAAAATATAAAATACCGCATGCCTAGGCGTCGGTCGTTGATTGGGCTTCTGCGCATTCTTTCGGCTCTGCCTGGGGATACTTTTCTCTACCCGCGATAACGGCCGTGATAGGCTCCAGCCCCCCCTCCCCCCCCATGGTCACGTCACGATTCGCGCCGGCGCAGTCTGGGAACTAGCCATTCCTGAGGCATCCCCAGACAGTGCCGGCGCGAATCGTGGTATGACTGCCCCCGTCCCCCCATCGGCCTTCTACTGGCCCGGGTCAATGCAAATCCGGGTCCGTCGAGCTCTGCAGGATCCTGCCAGATCCTGCAGGATCCTTCAGGATCCTGCGCGCTAGCAAAGGTCAATGCAACCCTGGCCTTGCAGGATCCTGCAAGATCCGGCGCTCTGGCTGGCCCCTGTTGGCACTGGCCCCCGACTCTCCCAGCTCGACCCCGCCTCACCCACCCCGCCCCCGGTCATGCCCGGGAGGAGGAGGAGGAGGAGGAGGAGGAGGAGGAGGAGGAGGAGGAGGGAGGAGGAGGAGGAGGAGGAGGGGGAAGAGGAGGAGGGGAGGAGGGAGGAGGAGGGGGAGGAGGAGGAGGAGGGAGGAGGAGGGAGGAGGAGGAGGAGGAGGAGGAGGAGGAGGAGGCGGAAGAGAAGGACTTCTCGCCAGGGGTCTCATGGGCCTCCACGCGGGCGACGCGTCGGCGGGGCCCCTCACGAGATCCTCGCGGAGGGGCCCGGTGCGTGCGCACGGCGTCGCCTGGCTGGGCGGGAGCCTGGCGGGGGAGCTCGGCGCATCGCTGGCGTCGGGCACCAACGAGGGTGGCGCGAGGGGGGGCGCCCTTTGAAGAGGGCGGGGGTGCCCCTCCCAGGGCTCGGTGCCCCAAAGCCGTCTGGTGAGTGACCGCCCGCGTGGTGGCCTCGGGATTCCTGGCAGCCTCACCGCGGGGTCCGTCACCACACGTTTTTGGGGCCCCGCGGGGTGCCCCGGTCGCCTGAAACATCCTCGGAGAACGACTCAAGTCCCAAAACTTAGGTCGCGCGTGTCCCCCTACAGGCGGATTTTGGAGGAAACATCAGAAATAGGCAAAACAGACTCAAAAATAGGTCAAAAAGAAAAATCGTCCCAAGAATTGTCCCCAAACTATTTTGTTACTATTTTTGAATATTCCTCCTGTAAAAGAACACGCCCGACGTAACCCGAAACCGTGTGCTGACCCCGAATCCCCACTGACTCACCACGCGGTGTGAGCACCACACCGTTTGGGCCAACCCCCGATGCTGAGAGAGAGAGCCAGAGAGCCTCACGAAGAAGGCAGCTCGGAAGCCAGGGGGGCTCCCAACGGTTTGGAGCGGGCCTGACAACTACATATAAGCCGGGCGTGTCCCTCTACAGGAAGAATATTCAAAAATAGCCTCAAAGTAATGAGAGACGATGTGTTAAGTACTGTTTGTATATATTTTGGAATATTTTTGGATTGTTCTCCCAAAATCCGCCTGCAGGGGACATGCCCGACCTAAAAAATACATCGATGTCCCCCCCCACGCGGCCATTCACTGCCCTTCCCGCTCCTGCTCTCGACCACGTGCTCGATCATGGCCCCGCCCCTGTTTCCCCGATCCGGCACGCATCTCCCGCCCCCCCCCCTCCCGAAGAAGCACCCTCCCGCTTTCAAGACGCAGAACCAGAAAAAAACGATGACGGAGAGGGAGAGAGCAAGAGAGTAGGTAACGTGCGCGACGGCGACGGCGACGACCTGCTGCGAGGGCCGGCGATCATCGCCACCGCCGCTCGTGAGAGGGAACGTCAGGGGGGGAGGGGGGCTGGCTGAGCGGGGGAACACCCAGCTTCAGGTCGGGCGTGTCCCCCTACAGGCGGGCTGTTGGCGAAAAATGGAAGACAGTCAACAACAAACATGCAAAAACTAGTCTAACATGTTTCTTTTAGAACATCGCCCCCAGACTATGTTTCGGCTGTTTTGGAACAACATCCCTCCTGTATAAGGACATGCCCGACTTAAACCTAGCTTGAATCGGCGGTGCATCGCCGACAGATAGGCGATAGGCCCCCGACAGCGAAGCCGCACGCTCCTGGGCGCGGCGAGCCGTCGGGCCTCCTTTCGGCGATGCGTGGGCGGTTGGGGGGTCGATGGGTCCCCCCTCCCTGGTGGAGCAGGAACCGACCGTCCCGACATCCCTGTAAGGCCTACCACGAAATATGCGTAGAACCCAAGGTTGTCCCAAGAACGAGACAATGTTATTGGAACATAATCCAGATGCGTTAAAACAAGACCGTCTCGGACAGAAATAAAATATCAATATTCCGTGCGAACCACAAGAGGTTCTCAGAACATTCTTTGGTGGGACTGGAGGCGAGCCAGGACGCTTCGCCACTGCTTGACCTGAGCCATCTCCGAGAACCTCCGAGACCTACCTCGAACCCCGAAAATGCTGAAAACCCATGACCTGCTCCGAAGGCTCGCGACCACCGCCATCACCGCTCGACGCAACCTCGACCGCGTGTCTGGGGCCGGCAGTGCGGCGGCGGAGTGCTCTCCACGATGCTCCCGCCCCCCCAGGGGCCCAAGCACCTGGGCTCAAAGCTCTTCTGCCTTGTCATCCGCCTCCAGCTCCAAAAACTCCTCCTCCTCCTCTTCCTTTTCCGCCTGCTCTGCAACCTCCTCCTCCTCCTCCTCCTCCTCCTCCTCCTCCTCCCACTGCTTGTGCTCCTCCTCCTTCTCCACCACCTCCTCCTCCTCCTCCCGCTTCCCTCGGCCACTCTTCCTCCACCTCCTCCTCAGCCTCGGTCTCCTCCTCCTCCTCCTCCTCCTCCTCCTCCTCCGCCCACGTCCCCCCCCCAAGAGCAGAGGTCGCTGGGCCGAGCGCCTTTGCCGCCTTGCTCGGGCCGGCGCCACCAGGCTCCAGCTGGGGGTAGTTCCCGGCCATGGACCACTTGGCCACAAAGGCCCAGAGCTTGGTCCAGGCGGCTTCGACCCCCTGAGTGAACGCGTCCTGCAGCCCGAGTCTCAAAGTCCTCAGGAGTGCCTGGCCAACTACGTCGTAGTGCGGCGGCAGCACCCCGTAGCCCACGTGGCGCAGGCCGAGATCCTGCAGCGTGGGCTTGAGGCCCTCCAGGTCGCGGACGCCCTTGATCACCGCGTCTACCATGGTGACCACCTCCAGAAGAAGACCAAGCGGCAGAAGCACAAAGGGTTGGTCGGAGGTCCGCGCCGATATCTTGGGTCTGCGCTGGAACCCCGTGGCGCGCGGAGCCTGCCAGGGGCGGCGCTGGAGGTGCTGCCAGGGGGGTCCAGCGCAGATCCGAAAGACCGCGCGGAGCTCCGAACATGCATGTGTATGCAGTGTCTTCCTTTTCTTCTTCTTCGAACCTTGACGCCATGCCCCTTCAGCTTGGGGTTGTCGTACAGGTCGGGGTCTTCCCCGAAGGGAAACAGCTGCAGGGCCTCCGGGGCGATGTCGAAGATCTGCCGGAACAGCAGTACGCCCACCGTCTCCGCGCCCAGCGCCGCGGCCTGGAGGAAGGAGGAGGGAGGAGGTGGGGTGGGAGGAGGAGGAGGAGGAGGAGGAGGAGGAGGAGGAGGAGGAGGAGGAGGAGGAGGTGGGAGGAAGAGGAGAAGGAGGAGGAGGAGGAGGAGGAGGATGAGAGGAAAGAGGAGGTGGGGTGGGAGGAGGAGGAGGAGGAGGAGGAGGAGGAGGAGGAGGAGCTTGAGAAGGAGAGGGCGCACGGCGCCGCGGCCTGCTTCCACGTCCCCTCCACGGCGGAGGCCTGCTCCTCGGTCAGGGCCGCCTTCGCCTGCCGCGCCTTCGCCTTCTTCGGCGGCGCGGCCTTCGCGTCCGCCGCCGCCTCGCGGGCGGAGGGCGCCCCGACCGGGCACCCGCGCCGAGCCTGGCTGGGCCGAGCCTAGGCCAGAGGTTCGGCGCACGCGCCCTCACGGCCTGCGGTCGCCGGGATCGCATCCCGTCGCGACCGGAGGCGGAAAACCACCGATTTGGACCCCCGAAATGGGTACGGAAAGAATGGTACCATGCCCAACAGCAAATGTTGTCCCAAACCAACAGCGGCCGCTGTTGGGCAGGCGGCCTTCTGTCTCAAATAGACACAGGCCGCGGCGGCGCGGACAGCGAGCCCTGCTCAAGACGAACAGGAACTGCTGTTGGGCATCGTACCCATTCTTTCCGTGCCCATGTCGGTCGTCCCGAGCCGAGAGGAACAACCGAGAGGACACACAGCTCTTCCGGGGGCAACGTGGCACGAGCACGCCGGAGGACACGCGGCACCAGCAGATCCAGCGGTCGATGAGCTGTGGGGACGCCCTCGGTTCCCACCAGCCCTCGGGGCGCAGGTGGTTTAGCAGCGAGTTGGACATTCCACTCCCCTGTTTCCCCTTCGGGGGAGTGTTCACCCCACCGACTACCACACGCCGCAAGACTCCCCCCCTAACAAAAGCCATGGTGTTCGAGTGAACGGGGCATGTGGCCGAGACACAGTACGAACGAGATAGACGGGGAGGGAGACTGTCCAGACCAGACCAGCACGGCAGAGCACCACAGCAAACAAGACAAGCACGGCAGACTAGCACTAGGTTGGTCATGTCCCCCTACAGGCTGATTTTCGACGACAAATAAATATACTCTAAACATATGCAAGAATAGCCGAGAATTGCAAAAACAAAAAAAATCGTCCCCAGACTAATGTTTGACGAATGTTGGACTATTTTTGAATTTTCCTCCTGTGGAGGGACAGGCCCGACTTAGACTAGCACGGCAGACCAACACGGCAAACCGGACCCGCACGGCAAACCAAACCAACGCGGCAGACCAGGCCAGCGCGGCTCAACTGGCCTTCCATGCTCGCCGCACGCCACGCCCGGTGCGCCGTGCTGGTGTGCCGTCCTGGCATGGCAGCTCTTGGGGGGTCTCTGGGACCCTTGGATCACTCCTGGATCACTCTGGGAGGCCTCTTGCACACATCTTGGAGGACCTCTTGGACCACTCTCGGATCACGCTTGGACTCTTGGAGGCCTCTTGGATCACCCTCGGGTCCTGCACACATCCTTGGAGGGCTTCTTGGGGGGGCCTCTTGGGGAGCCTCCTGGGCCCAAGCATGAGCGCCAAGGACGGCGCCCCTCGTTGGTCCGCTGGCGGCTACGCATCTCGAAACATGGAGCGGTCTGGGGCATTCGCGGGACCCTCTGTGGGCCGTCTTGGCGGCCCCCGTGACCTGTGTTGGGCTCTTCCAGAGCCCCTCCAGCGCCTCCCTCGGGCCTCTTGGGCGTCGCTAGATGCAAAAAGGCGAGTACAATAGGGGCTCGAACACAAGAAACCTTCCACAAGAAACAAAACCCTGGGACCCCAGGATGTCGAAAGAATTTGTGGTGTGGGAGCGTCACGCTTTCCACAGCAAAACCATCGAAACCCAAGAAACTCAGGGCACCCTGGAGGCAAGCAGTGTGTTTCTTGGCATGGGTCCCCACAGTATGCTAAACCAACAGTGCGCTTCCCTAGAAGAATGGAGCGAATTTCGCCTGGGGCTCTCTTGGGGGTCCCCTCGAAGCCCTCTTGGGGTGTCTTTTGGGGCCACTTGGGCTGTATTGAAGCCATCTTGGGTATCTTGGAGCGGTCTTGAGCAGTCTTGGAGGCCTCTTGGGACCGCCTGGGAGCGCGGGCATGCCACGGGCACCCCTGTCCCTCGCCCGAGCGCTGATTCGGGAAGTCCCCACTCCTGGGTCTGGACAGGGGGGGCGACACACAGTAGCTTGCAAGATAATGCCCAAAATTGTTCCAAAATGCCGCAGATAGCCCAAGATGTTCGAGCATATCGTTTCCGCTAGATGGTTTACCGAATAACACCAAGATCGCACAAGAGCGCGCGACGGGGGGCCCAGGCGGACTGAAATACAGCCTCCAGCGCGCCAAAGAGCGTCCCAAAAACGCCTCAAGAGGCAATGTGTCGGGATTCGACGGGGGGCCTTAATTGAGGGCCCCCCTTCACTGAAAGCCAAAAACATTGAACAACGTGAGGTTCTTGATTGAGTTTGGCCTCTCGGGGGCATTATTGGGAGGCTGTTGAGCCCAAATAAGACGACTCCAAGATGATCCAACATGTCTTTAAATGAACTCACAACTGGGGGCAAAATTGTCCAAATTGGATCAATGTGGGCTCCAGCATGTCGTCAACAGGTCCCCCATCGGGCTTCGAGTGACCTCAGAGCCTCCCAAGGACGCGCCCGAGAGGCCAACTCATTCAAAACCGGATGTTCGTCCATGTGTCTCGCCTCCTCGCCTCTTCCATGCAGGTGAAGTTCTGAGGCCTCAAAATGGCTCCAAAATCGTCTAGAGAGCCGTCGGGGGACCAAGACGGCCCAAAGAGCGCACGAAGAACGTTCCAACAGTACCCCCACGAGGGGAGTTGTCGGTTTCAGATGGGGGTGGGCAAACTGAGCGTTTTCTTTGGGTGGAGGGCAAAGGGTGAAATCTGATATGCCGTTTCGATTGATGATCGAGGCTTGCATCTGCAAAAGGTGAATCACAAGACGGATTGATCTTCGAGGTGCAGAAGTCCATATGGATTTCACCCTGAGCCCTCCACCCTGAGAAAATGCCCAGGCAAATGAGCGACGAAAAGAAACGGGTGTTACTGAAGAGGCCCTGGGACACACAAATAAATACACACAAATAACAGTATTCCCTATGTTTCCCCGTATTTTCTGTGTTGTTTGTCTTCCCCCCACTTTCCATATTTTCCTATATTTTCTGGGAAATCGGCAATTCATTGTGTCTGTGTGTGTTTTTCCCCTCCTGTGTTACGCAAGATGACATATGGCATCCGGACCTCTTGCGGCGGCTCACGCGTGCCGCCAGCGCAGCAAGCTGCGCTTGGAACGACTCGGTGCCGACGCTCGCCCTCACGCGGGCAGCTTCCGCGCGAATGTCGGTGAAGACGGCCCCGTGTTCCTGTGAGCGTTTTTTTTACCCGGCGTTTCGACACTGGGCGGAAAGACCTCACGCGGGGCAGCTTCCGCGCGAATGTCGGTGAAGACGGCCCCATGTTCCTGTGAGCGTTTTTTATTCGGCGTTTCGACACTGGGCGGAAAGGGCAAGGGAGGGGGGGGGTCTGGCTCAGGACCTCTGCTTCGTGCGGCCGTGTGGAACTGTGCGTCCTCTGGGGGAGAGGCTCCGCCTTCTCGAAACGGGCGCCCCCCAAACAGCCAAGATCTACCCCATGGGGGGGGGGTGCGAAGGCCCGCGCCGATCGGCAAAACCGTGAATAGAAAAGGATCACTCTTCCGTCGCTCACATGAATGCCGCCCCTTGTCGGATCGACTCCGCCCCCGATCGGCACCCGAGAGGGGCAGGGCCCCGACGGCTCCCGAGAGGGGGCCCATAGGAGAGCTCTCCACAGGCTCCTGCAGGGCCCCCCCCCCAACAACGGGCCTCATGAGCTCCACAAGTGCGCCTCCCGGAGGCCCCAGTAGCGACAGATCCGCGAATGCATGTGCACGTCGACGTGTACATGCTTCTATCCACTTCTTGCGACCGATCGGTCGCAAGAAGTGGGTAGAAGCATGAAACAGGCAGGCGTTGAAAGTGCCTTGGACTTCCGCCGCCATCTCCAGGTGAAGGAAAAAGGGGGAACCCATTCGGTCATAGAAGTAGGAAAGCGCCCGAAGTAGGTTGGAATCGGAGGATGCCGAACAAAACACGTTCTACGACCGACGAGTATGTTTGACTTGTGGTTCTGCTGAGACTCGGGAGCGGCCAAGAGGGGGGTGTCCAAGAGGGGGGGGTGCAAATCATGACCGGCGGCATGTGCGCGGCCCAGCGAGGGGGCCAAGGACGTAATGAAATAAGAAGAGGCGCCATGAAATCCGGGGAAATATCATGGCCCCCGCCATGATATCCACCCCCCCTAGTCATCACCCCCCTCTTTTCCGCCCCCGAATTCTACGACCGACGGGTATGTTTGACTCGTGGGTCTGCTGAGACGGATCCCGAGATCTGGCTTGACGCCTGCCCCCCCTTTACGGTCCACAGCAGGCGTCTACACGCGCGCTGGCAGTTGCGCAGTGGAGACCCATGCCAAGAAACGCCCTGCTTGCCTCCAGGATGCCCCGGGTGTCTTGGGCTTCGATGGTGTCGCTACGGAAAGCGTGCTGTCCCTACACCGAAAGTCAGTGGACGTCCTGGGGTCTCAGGGTTGGGTTTCTCGTGGCAGGCTTCTTGTGGACTGGCCTCCACTGCAACTCGCCCGGGCATCGTCTCTGGATGGGCTGGTTTACCAGCCCGGAACATATCCCTATCCCTATGCTGGGCACCTCCTCGTCACAATGCCAATCTTAGTGATTCCCTATTTTTTTGAGGGCGAATCCCTAAGATTGTCATCGCCTGTTGGCGTGTCGATCTTAGGGATAGGGACACGTTCGAGGCTGGTAACTAGTGGGGGGCACGCGACACGTTCATACTGCAGCCCCCCTGCGGGCCCTGTGCCGTGTTAACGTTTCGGATGGGGAAGTGGTTCACCTGCTTGCCATGCCCGCTGGGTAAACAATCTTGTGAGGGGGGCAGGGCTTGCAACCTCGTCTGCCTTCTAGGTTTTGGGCCTCCACTCCACGGCCCCATGGCCCTGCAAGGTGGCATCGGGCAGGCCCAGTGTGCCCCTAGAAAGGCCCACCAGTGTCGAAATCTTGCCTCAGGTGCTCCCAGATTGCCTCCAAGATGGCTCGCGATTAGCCGACGGTGGCTCCAGATAGCTCCCAACACACTCCCAGAGGTCAAAGCCACCCCAGGACGGCTCCTGGAGGCCATGAAGCCTCCTATGGAAGCCCCCGAGAATTCAAATGCTCTAAGGAACGCAACTGTTTTTTTACGACGTTTCTCCTTTTTCCCGATAAGCTTCTCAGGCCTCAAGATGGTCCAAAACGGCACTCAAAGACAGCCCCTGGGAAAGTCCGAGAGACCTCCAATACGGCCCCAGAGCATCCCACAACGGTCAATAGAGGCTCCCAAGACAGCCACCCAATGCGCCAAACGGGCCAAAAGCGTTCCGCGCCAGTGCAAAAAAAAACAAAAGACCCCAAGAGTTCCCGGGAGGGCCCCAGAGAGGCCCCGAGAAGCCCTCCAGAGAACCCAAGACGGACCCAATCGACCCCAATCTACGGCAACATGCCACTTCCCCTGCTCCTCCTCCCCCTCCCCCTCCTACTCCCCCTCCAATTCCTCCTCCTCCTCCTCCTCGTCTTCCTCCTCCTCCTCCATTCCTTCTCCTTGCAGATGACTCCTCCCTGCCGCACCCCGAGGCCAGTTTTTAGGGCGGGCTGGGCGCTTCGCCTCAGACTTCCTCACCATTTATGACTCTGAAGATTAACAAGCGACAACAGTTTCACAAATGGAGGGCGGGCCGTTTTCAAAATGCGGCTCTCGCCTTAGCGCCGCACATATTCGTTTTAAGCAGTTGCAAGAGCTTCGCGGATTGAAGGCGGGTCGTTTTCAGAATGTGGCTATCGCAGTAACGCCGCGCCCATTCGCTTGAAACATTTGCAAGAGTTTCACGGATTGAGGGCGGGTCGTTTTCAAAATGTGGCTATCGCAGTAGCGCCGCGCACATTCGTCTTCTAAACTTTGCACGGGTCTAACGGATTTCCATGATCAGCGCACCAACAACGGCGTTTGGGAAGGATTCCGGATTATGCGGGCGCAACAGTTATGTCGATTCGCTGTTTTGAAATCCCAGAAATGGCGTCCTGGCACGATTCTGGATTGTCAAGACGCAGCAGTCAGGTTGATACGCGGCGTTGAAATCCCGAAAACAATGTTTTGGCATGCTCCGGGATCTTCAAACTGTTGCCTTCCAACGAGGCAGTTCCCTCAATGGACATGAACCGTTGTAGGGGCCTATGAAGAGGGAGCTAGGGAGGGTTAATTCCAACATCGTTGATGACTCTTGGGTTTCCACTGGTCCTCCTCCTCCTCCTCCTCCTCCTCCTCCTCCTCCTCCTCCTCCTCCTCCTCGTCGCACGTTGTCGACACCACGTGTCTGTCCGCGCCGACGCACTACAGCCGACGCAGCGGGAACCTCACAGTGGAGGCAATCCCTCGGGCCTCGCGCTCGGATGGGGCGACCTGGTGCGCCGCTCTGCGCGAATTGGGGTGATTTTACAGCAAGCTGGCAGCAGCAGGGAAGACGGGCGAGCCAGAGGACGGGGAGGCCTCCTCCTCTT